TTTGTGTTGCTCATTTAATATTGATTTTTTATCACCACCTCGTGGTTTAGAAGTAATTCGGCCTTCTCTATCAAAACAATCTACAATATTCTGAATGGTTGATGCAACTAATTGAAAATTAGCTGCAACATCCTGAATTGGTACACATTTATTATTAACTTCATTAATAAATTTTTTTTCGTTTCTAAAGGAATCTTTTGATATTTAGATGCTCTTTTCTTTTTTTTTTGAGGCATTACTAAAACAAACATATAAAAATTTTTTTTTGCTGTATTTATATAAAATATTTATATTAATATATAAATTGTTTCATAGATTAAACTACAGTATATATACTATGAATTACAGATGTTAAAATACGTATTGTAGTGAATTGACTCGACTATGTACTAGCGGGCAGAATGATCTAGTATTGTAAAATATGTTGCACACCAGGTGAAGGATCAGTCGTGTAACCTCAATGTTCCCTCCTATTTGATTATACTGAGTTATGATTTTTGACTTTATCAAAAGTAGGACAATTAATTATTTTACCTTGGATTTTTTTCTTTTAATTTTTTTAATTAATCATCAAGCAACAATGTTTTTATCGAGTCAATTTACCAATATATTGTTTAATTATTAAAGTTTTTTTTCATTTTGTTATATTAAATATTATGATCAAATGGCAGATACGTATAGGCATTATCTAGCATAGTGAAATTTCATTGTCTGATTTTTTATAGGGAGGGATCACCAAATTTCCGGGTTGGATCCATTGAATTTAGACCGGCATTTAGCAATATAAGTCAACTATTTCTGGGCCAAAATTATCAGCTGGGCAGCTTTACCTAATGAGTGGGCTATAACTTCATTAGTAAAACTTTCAGTAATCTTGGAAAAATTAGTTAATTCTAGCCCCGCCGATCATGATTTCGAGGTATTCTAACGTGGAATTTTGGTAACCTCCCTGTGAGTTTTGTGTTTAAAATCTGTGACAGGTTATGTAAATAACTCAAGATTTTACTAGTTTGACTTCTAATAAAAAGTTTTAGCTCGAAATTTTAGATATAAGTACATTTAAATATCAAATATCAAGTAAATTAAAGCCTGCACTTAATTCTGATCTTATGCTCTTTCGATTTGATCATAACCTGTTATAGGTTTCAAACGTGCAATAATATTTTCATGTTACAATCAATCTCTTTATACTAGGTTTTGATTGATGACGCAGTCTGGCATTTGTTCAGTTGACTAATATAAATCAATTATTTGGGTAACTATTTATATATATGTAATATTTATGATGCTTTGCAAAAATATGTGACCCTCTTGATTACTATTAGTTATAAA